GCCTCCTCCCAGTCATGCCCCAAGCTGATGACCMAGCCCTCAACTCGTGGCCTTTGGAAGCTTTCCAGATCCAAACTGTGGTGGAGGCTGAGCCCCACAGTCTTCTTCTGCAAATGGGAGACCCAGAAAGCCAGGGGTGTAGTTCAGTCTGAGTCCAGAGGCCTGAGGACCAGGGGGCTGTGGTGTCAGTATATCCAAGGGCTGGGGGTGAGGCCAGATGCCATGTTCYCACTCAGGCCAGAAGCAGGAGGGCCAGGGCCTCCTTCCTCCTCCTTTTGTTCTATTCAGCACCTCAGCTAATTGGACAGAGCCCACCCAGGTGGGCGAGAGCAGCCTGCTTTCTCTCTCCAGCATTTACCAAACACCCTCCAGACACACCAGAAACCATGCTTCATCCGGGCACCCAGGGCCAATCAAGTTTATACCAAAATTAACAACAATTCAGACCCCGACTCCGGGAACACCAAGTCAGAGGCACTAGGCGGGTGTCAGGATTCGGGGTGTGCACATGAGCTGTGTGAGGCCTRCTTCCTCCCTGAGTGCCTTACTATGTTCAGGGCTGTGGGATGGGACTTGGCCCTCATTCTCCTACCTTGGCMCAGGGAAAGGAGTCCCGGAAATGAAGCAAGGCACAAGTGCTGGGACGTGGTTTGAGAAATGGAAACCCCAAGACATGGGGGACACTGCACTGGGGGTGATCAGGAAGGCAGTCCCAGGTGGTCAAATTGAGCCCACACAGTATGGGAGGGGGTCGTGTGTGTTCACTGGGGGAGGAGGCTGCAGCGATGGCAAGGGTTCCTATAAACCCCAAGGGTTACAGGGAGTATGAAATTTCCTTAAGCCTTGGGGCATGGACTGCTACATCCTGTTTGGAATGATACCTCTGGCTTATTCCAGGAGCAAGACATTTTTGACATGTGCTTTGTGAGAGTGTGTGTGTGTGTGTGTGTGCATGAGCATGGGTATGAGAGGGAGAATCTGAGAAATTAGCTCTTTTCCTCTTTGTCTTGGCAGTTTTCGGGAGCTCTTAAAATCAAATAATTTCAATTTGAATCTATCATTTTTTTATCTATGAGATGGATTTTATAATAGTACCTATCTCTGTGCACGGTTTTCTTAGTCTGTTCAGGCTGCTRCAACAAAACACTACAGACTAGGTAGATTATTAACCACAGAAGTGCATTTCTCACAGTTCTGGAGGCTGGAAGTCCAACATCAAGGTGCAGGCAGAGTAAATGTCTATGCGGGCCTGTGGTGCCTCCTTGCTGTGCTTTGTTTGGTGAAAGGGGTTCTGGGCTTTTCTGCAGCCTCTTTCACAAAGGTACTAATCCCATGCCTAAGGGGCTCCACCCTCACRATCCTATCACCTGGCAAAAGTCCCACCTCCAAACACCTTGACCTTGGGGTTAGGATTTCAACCTATGATTTGGGGGAGACACAAACCACACATTAAATGTGTTACTTCCACCTAAAGTGTCGATTCTCACACCCAGCATGTAGTCAGAGGTTACCAAAGGCCAGCTCTGGTGCGATGATCATTGTCATCCCATCCTGCCCCTCGCACAGATCCCTTCTACTTTTCCAATTATTTTTCTTCCTCCATTACTTGGGTTTCCGTAAGAAATCTAGTATCTTATGGAAGCATCTAAGGACTGCTGTTTCCTTKGCCTGGCACCTCGTGGGCACCTCAGTGCTTAGCAGACAAGGTTGGGGAAGCAGCCTTGGACGTGGGGGAGTGGATTTGAGCTTTGGTGTCTCCCCCACTTCCTGGGTCCTCCTTCCTAACCATTGACAGCATTGACAGCATGGCCCTGCTCCAGGTGTCTGTGTTGTCTTGGGGGCATTTAAATGGGACGAATCCTGTCCTGACTTAAACAAAGCGTTAGTTCCAGGGGACAGGAGCTGGGTCTTCACCTCTGGATCTTGCAAACGTCTGGTCCTGTCCCATCCCAGGTGCTKCGTAAGCACGTGCCCTCCACTGCACGTGGCTGGGGGCAGATGTAGCAAGCTGTCATCCCTCACCCTCTCTCCTCCCTCCTCTCCAGGGACAGGAGCTGACCATCCGCCAGATCTCCCTCCTGGGCTTCCGAGACCTGGTCCTGCTGAAGGTGAAGCTGGGTGACTTGCTGCTTCTGGGGCCGCCATCCAAGCTGCCCTCCTCCATCGTCCAAATGCTGCTCATCCTGCAGGTGAGGCCCCGGGGGGGACCGAGGGAGGAGACAGCTGCTGTGGGACTAACAGGAAGGGACCAAGTGACCAAGCACCTGAGCTTAGTTGAGAATTCTTTTGAGCTTGTTTGGCCACGTCCCTGAGTTCCTTTGTTTGATGTGCATTCACAGGGTCCCTGCTAGGTCCCTGGTCCTGTGCTCACTGCCRGAATTGTAGAGGGGCATGAAAGAAGCGTGGTCCTTCATTCAGGAAGTGGACATTCCCCAGTTATGTCAGGGAGCCGTGGGCTGCAGGGGACAACAAGGAATCCATTTTTGCCTAGCACAAGCCAGACCAGGTCCTCAACGGAAGGYTCCCAAGGCAGATGGGGTTTGTGACAAGGTGACACTGGTCAAGTTGCAAAGCCACCAGCGTTTCTTCACTTCSTGGCCTCTAGTTGTACCTGGTCTGCGTGTTTCTCTCTGATGCTCCCTGGCCTTGCACAGACTCTCTTGGTCTTTCTCGATCCGTGGGGTCGCGTCCAGTGCTTTGGTTCCYGCCTGATCCATGTGGCAGGCTGAAGTAAGAGACCAACCACCCAGAAGGCTGCCCTGTGTCTCTTGACCCCAACCCTCAGTCAGTAACAGGACAGTGAGCCAACACTGTTGGTCCCTGGTGTTTGCAGCCTCAGGCCAAGGAATCAACCACCTCATGAGGTTGGCATTGTCTTTCACTCCCATCACAGACCAGGAAACTGAGACCTAGGAAGTTCACCAACATGTCTATCACCCCAGCTAGTAAGGGGTAATAAAATTGAGAACTGCACACCCTGGTTCCTCTCCAAAGGAAAGAATCTGATTGGCTGGCCTTGGGCTAGGTGACCTCTTTGCCTGGTGGACTTTGACCTTGAGTGGGATCAAGTAGTCCAAACCTGGCCTCAGCAAGCCCATTCCTGTGGGTGGGCACACACTTCTCCCAGAGCAGCGCTGCTCTCCCAGGTTCCATCCTCCATCAGGCGGAAGGGGACCCTAGGCTGCCCTCATAGCAGGCATGGAGCATCCAGCCAGGGCCCCCACCTGCCTCCCCCAGCTGCTGTTCTCTTTCCCTTCTCTAAACTGGAACATCCTTCCCTGTAATCCCAGAGGAGGAAGGGCTGCCAATAGGAAGAGGGAGAGTGGAATTGGCTGGAATGCAGGTGTGCAGCTCCCACCTGATTGATCTTGGCCTCTGCAGAAGGAGTGAGCAGGACCTTTGTGCCCACTGTTCCCTCTGCCCACAGCACTCTGTCTTCTGGGACTCACAAGCCCCCTTCCATCAAGGCAGATCCTTGGGCTTCCATCTCACCCCGTGTCCCAGCACCCAGCCCAGTCTTTGGCACATAGTAGGTGCTAACTAAACACTGTTCACTGAGTGGTAGCACCAACTAGCAAGAGACTGAGTGAGACTGACCCCAGGTCCCTGGCCCCAAAGATTACGATGGCTTGTGACCATCACACAGGGCTGAGAGAAGTGTGGCTGGAGCAGGTCCAGGGTCTCGGCAGTTTTCTGGAGACCTGGGCGAGGAAATGGTCCCTCCTGTGACTACCCCATTGTTTGTTCYGTTTCAAGCAGAGAGGGAGGATGAGAGGAGCTGGCTCAGGGGCTCAGGACCACATACTAACTTGTAGCCAGCTGACTGCTCGGCAGCTCCCGGCCCCTGCTTTCTGCCTTCGTCCTGCAGCCCCCCTCCATGTTCAGAACCCCCTCAGCACCACCCTTCAGTTCTCTTAGGGCTTCCTGGAGTGGCTTACTCAGGAGCCTCGGGGCAGGGATGGTGACTGAAAGCAGCAGCCTGGGTCTGGGTGGCACTTCAGGTGGCGCTGCCCTGGTAGCAGGAACCCTGGGTCTCTGTACTTRGAATTGTCCTTCTCTCCACAGGCCCCTACTTTCCCCAGGGTCATGAGGCCTGGGGCTCATTTCTCCAAAGCCACCTGACTGCTAGGAAAAAGAGCCCTTTCTCAGACTTCAACTCTCCCTTTTCCAAAATATTTTGGAGCCAACCCTTCCCCTCCTTCAATACACTGGGTGTTCTGCCAGCCGAGGGGTCTGTGCTTAGGCTGGCCTGGTCAGTGGCGGAACCAGAGACTTTAGCCATGGAGGCCCGCCATGCCGGCCGGGCAGGGTGTGTGACCTGTGCTTCGAGGACCCTGCGCCTGGCTCCATTGTCTCCCATCACCCACTCGGCATTCGTGATAGCTTTTGGAGGAAGGGACCTTGATTTTCACTTTGCTCTGGGTGACAAAATGGTCACAGCCAGTCTGCTGACCAATGGAGGGCAGTGAGCGGCACCCTGGCCAAGGGCACCTGCCAGCCCAGCTCTCGAGGCTGTGTCCTGGGAGAACCAGCCGCTAGCTCCACGTCACGTGCTCCTGGCCCGCTCTCTCCCACCTGTGCGGCCTCTCCTTTTCCTGTCACCTCTCCCCAGTTAGTGCTCAGGAATTCTAGGGGGGAAGGGGCCATGGAAGAACCCAGATGAGAAYTGTCAAGGACAAAACAAGAGAGAGACAGTGGGAAAGTTTCCTGGGCTCTGAGGCCCAGTCAAGGTGGTTTTGTGGCTGAAACCGCTCTGCTCTTGAGGCCTGGTGTGGTTCCTAGGGCGCCTGAGCAGGGCTCCCCTTTTCCCTTCTGCTGCCTCAAGGCCTCCCTCCACCTGGGGCAGCTGTGTCTCCCTGAGCTGAGCAGCTCGTTCGCTTTCCCTGTTCATTTCCACTCTTCTGTCTAGTATGGAGCAGAGGGCACAGAGCACCCTGGCTGCCTGGCCTGCTGTGTGTCAGGACCACCTCTGCATCTCCTCTCTCCAGACCCCTTCCCAGCCCAACCTCCAAATCCTCTGCCCCTCCCCAACTTCCTTCTATTTTCTTAAGCGGCCCCTCCCTGCGCCACTCCCAACCCCCCCCCCACCCTCCCACACACACACCTATCTCTGTGGGATGCAGGTGAGAAGGGACAGGTCCAGCTGTTTCTCTGGAAGGACCCCCAGCCTATAGGAGTTGGCTCTTCCTGCCTCATGGCCTGGCCATCTTCTTAYATTTAAATGAAAATAATTGACAATCTGTTTTGAGAATTTGACAATGATAACCTTTCAGGCTGAGCACAGCCCCCAGAACCTGGCTTCTTCCTGCTTAGGACCCTGTCCCTTGCTAGGCGGCCTCTACTTCCTCCCAGTCCCTCCACAGGAGAGCCTGCCTCCACCTCCTTTGCAGGGAGAAGCTGAATTCCCAAGGAGTTCGCTGGGCTTCTAGAAAGCGCTGGTTACAGGCTCCTCTGTGGGTTKGGCCCTTGGAGTTATTAGGGTTGGTGTTTATTCGGGGTTTGTTTGTGAGGACTCCTGAGCTGCCAGGCTTTTGAACGGGCTCATCATCTTGCTGCAAAACGTCTGCCTGCCTCTAGAACCAGTCTCCCTTTCTTGTGCTGTTCTGGACTTTCCCATATTCTTTTCCCCCTTTTTAGCCTGTTAACAAGTGATAGTAGGATAGTAGGATAGCCTGGGCTCTGGCTCGGGGCTTTATCCACCAGCTGTGCTTGGCCAGGCAACTGACTTCAGCTCTCTGGGTCTGTAGAAGGGGGTTGATGGGGGGCCTCCCCCGTGGTTGTCAGGAGGCCTCTGCATTAATACATGTGAAGCGCTTATATAAAATGCATGTGCGCTGTAGGCAAACTGTCACGCCATTGTGGGTGGGGTTATCATGGGACCAGTGAGACTCTGGCCTTGGAGCTGGAGCTGGGTCTGCCCCACCCATGCTGCCTTGGAAGGGCCCCCTGGGAGAGGCCGCCAGGTATTCACCAGGTGCTGTTCTGACCCCTGTGATCTGAGACAAGGGATGAGGGCGCCAGGCCTCAGTTTCCTTTATTCTAATCTCTAGAAGGTGCCTGCTGGCCACACTGCCTGTGCACGGCAGGAGGGCAGGAGGGATGCGTTGACACGCGTCCACGGGCCAGTTTTCACGGACTGACCTTTGTGTGTCTCGGATGTTCTTTCCAGAGTGTTCACGAGCCCACTGGTCCAAGTGAGGGTTATCTGCAGCTGGAGGAGCTGGTGAAGCAAGTGGTTTCTCCTTTCCTGGGCATCAGTGGGGACCGAAGCTTCTCAGGACCCACGTACTCACTGGGTAAGGGGCACAGCTGCCACGTTGCCAGGGGCCTGGGCAGCACGGATGCCAGTTACCTTGTACCGAGCACTGACTGCACGCTGAGCACTTTGCTTTCAGTGTGGGTCAGTGCAAACCTGTGTATCTTAATCACTATGTTCCCAGCCTGGGTGGCAGTGACCAAGGACTGAGCCAGCCCCCTCCATGGTGGAGCCTGTCTGATCCACACCTTTGATCAGTGACTTTGATCTTTTTTCATGACACAAAAAAAGACATTCATGTCTCTATCGGATGTCAGAAACCCTGCCTGAATCCACCCTCCCAGGCTTGAGTGGAAAACCCACTGATGAAAGCAGCTCAGATGTGGAGCCAGATTGTCACATGCATAGCCAGGTGCTCTGGAGCTGCTGTCCCCTGCTCTGTTTCTGTAAGCACTACCAGGCCTGCACTGCAAGGAAAGGGGTTCCTGGGTGTGGGGACAAATCCTGGCTATTGATGGCTCTGAAGCTGTATCGGCATCAGGCCCTGTACTAGGTCCCTTGGAGAACCTAGAGATGAATCAGGTCTGTTCCTTCTCAGGCCACAGTCTAGATGGTCTCAGTAGAAATTGCTGGGTAATAGAATCTCAAGTAGCTCTCAGTGAAACCACAGACGTGGTAGGAACAGCTCTGTGATCGGATTTGTAATAAAAGACATTCCTCAGTGAAATGCAAACCCTTAAGATGCAGGAACTTGTTCAGTGTTCTGTCCCAGCAACTGGAATGGTGCCTGGCTGTACCCAAGCCCAGGCACTTGGCACCCACAGAGAGGTGTGGAACAGGAAGCATACCTGCATTTGGAAACTGTTGCCCCTCTTTTCGTGGAAATGGAGTTGTAGCTGAGCTTCAAAGCCAAGGCGAAGTGCAGAGGCTCCTGCCCTTCCTGGGCCTCTCAACTGCAGAAAAAGGCAGAACCTTTCGCCGGCAGTTTTCCCAGCCCTGGTCGTGTTTCTCTGGAGACACCAGCTTAACCACAGACACCACAGATAGGAGGGTGCCGGCCCAGCCTGCTGCTGCCAGGTCCCCACCCCCCACTCTTCTTACCCCACCCAGGAGCTGGAAATGACAGCCCTGAGCCCGGCATGCTATTGCTGCGGTCTCCCTGGAACCCACCTTCCCRCTACTGGCTTGGCTCATGGAGTTTGGTGGGGGGAGTGTGGGGAGGTCCCAGGGAGATGTCAGGACACCGCCAGATTAGCTGGGCCCTGACCACTCTCTGGGCCGAATGCCAAAGCAGGGAGAGAAAGAAAAAGTCATTTTTCTTTAACTCTCCTACGTTCTTAGTTGGAAGAGACTCCTAGATCATATTAACAGAGAGAAAGAAAAAAAAAGGAATTTCTTAACATCTACATTTCATATCTACATGGAAGACAGCCAGGGAGCAAGTAGCTTTCAAATAGGCAGCTTTGTATCCTGGCTGTCACAGCATCTTCAATGAAGAACAGGGACTTTTTAGAGAGGTGACAAGACAGAGGGAAATGAGTCTCTAAGGGCAGCACCTTGTGGGAAGCCACATGTCGAGTGGTAGCTAAGGGCCGGCCAGGAAAGCCTGAGAGTGCAGACCCTGGTCATCCCCAGATGGCAAGGTGTGAAGTCGTCTGCGGTGCTGCCTTTGTCTTTGGAAGTCCATGTCCTGCTTTCAGCCACCTGGACTGGAGTGGGTGGAGTAGATTTGGAAGTGTAATCTGTGAGGACTACAGAAAGAATGATATCCATTTTGTCAAATTATAAGGCAGAGCTGGAGCTGGACACCATGGTGCACACCTGAAACTACACGTGAGGTTGAGGTRGGAGGATCTCAAGTTCAAGACCAGCCTCAGTCATTTAGTGAGACACTGACTCAAAATAAAAGGCCTGGGGATGTGGCTCAGTGATGAAGCATCTCTGAGTTCCATCCTCAGTACAAAAACAAACAAACGGACAAAAAAACCCAACAACAACAAAAAAATGTATCAGTTGGTGGTATGAGCCTTTACTGTACCAAGGACAGTGGCACCCTGTGACCCTATCCCAGACACCTTGCATGGTGCTGCAGGTGCACCTGTGAACAAAGAGGGCCCATCCTGCCCTCTAGGGAGGAAGTCAGACAAGGCACAGGGGCCTCCGAAACCTCAGCAGGAGCTTCCCCTGGGCCAGGAAACCAGAGGAGGCTTCCTGGAAGAGGCATTGATACCCTGGTTATCCCGAGTCCTGCTTCCCCACATGTTGAAGTTTGAACATGAGAGAAGCACGCTGAGGCAAGCTTAYAAAGCAGGGTTTATTTAAAAAGGGGTAGCATAGACTTCTCCCAGGAGGGAGAAGGGGGCCATAGCTGGTGTCCTGGTATCCCAAGAAGCGAGGTGTTCTGCCCTTTTTATATGTCTAGGCTTCCTTCGTTCTCCTGCTTTTCCCCCCTTACCTTTCTCCTTCCTGTGTATGTGACTAGGCCCAGGAATGCTGGGTGGGAGGCCCAAGGTGGGAAACAGGTGGGCTGAAGGGGGAAGGGCAGGATGGAGCAGCCAAGGACACATTATTAACCTTCTGGTTCTCTGTAGGAGGGACAATTCCTGGGACAGGTTACCTCAACAACAGGTTGGCACAGGGGCAGGTTCTTGATCAGGGTGGAGGAAGGGCTCTGAAGGCATTCACATTTCCATCCCCAGGGGACAGTCTCCAACTTCTAGGACCCACTCAAAATTGGCCTCCTTGATCCGACCTGACTCGATTTACCTAACTATGCTGACTGCCTGTCCAGTTCTGGCTTCAGCCATGTCTGGGATGGGAGCCAGACATGGCTGGAAGAGGAGTTAGGTGAGGAAACAGGGAGAGAAGCCCGCACCAGGCAGAGGGGTAGACCTCTGGGAGAACTCGAAGGTGGTGAGTGAGCAGAGGGGGGACCACTGAATGGACTGAAAGGCTTTGGAATTGCAGCGTGGTGGGGGGCAAGGGAAGCCACTGGACATAGACCACATCCTGGGCACTGTGCCGGGTGAACTGGACACCATGCTGCCACGGAGGTGCTTCTGTTCCCATCTGACAGGGGAGGCACAGGAGGATGAAGGCCACTTGGCTGGTGGAGCCAGGATTCAAGCCCCAGCTGCCCCACACATTCTGCCACGCTCCCGCCCTAGCTCCGGCAGCATGTGGGACTAGAGTTTACTAAGGGACAGGCGAGAGATGTCCTTCCCTTCTCTTCCTTAGTCCAAGGTAGCCTCAGCCAGACTTTTTATACCAAACCTCTGGATAGCAAAAAGCCGAGGTGCTTTTCCTCTCTGAGCCCCCTCTTCAGGTCGGAGGGTTCCCTCTGCCCCGCCCCAGGAGGAGGATGGTCACCTTGCCCCAGCCTGGGCAAGAGGGCACTAAGAAAAATGGCGAAATAACGACTGATAACAGTGGGCCCGAGAAATCCCTCACCCACGGAGGGCTCAGCCAGGACTTGAGTGGGGGTAGGAGTGGTCAAGGGCAGCTGCGGCCTTCATTTCAAAAGTCACTCATCAAATGCCCGCCACACTGTGTGTGGACCCGGCTCTGGGCACCCACTCCTTCCTCTCTCGCACAGCCTCGCACACCCCCGCACCCCCCAGGGGCCTGGTGTGGTCACCTCAGACTCTAGGGGCAACCCGGGCATCCCAGGCCAGAGCAGTGTGTCACCCACTTCAGGGGTGTGTCTCCCTGTCCCACAGTCCCTGAATCCTTGAGTCCTGGGGAAGTCCCTTTTCCCGCAGGCCCCTGCCCTGAACACGTGAGGCTGGCTTCAGAGAGAACCCAGGGGCCCTCCCGGGCTCCAGAGGGAGAGCGTGGGTGCCCTCCCCACCCCACAGCCATCTCCTCTAGAGCAGCGGTAGCAGAGGGGGGAGGGGAGGGGAGGGAATCTTACTTTAAAAGTGGGTTTGTCAGAGGCCGGGCCCTGTCCTACCTTTCGAGTTCCTGAGCTGCCCAGGGGCCCTCAGCAAGCACTCAGGCTGCTGGCTTGATTTCACAGAAGCCCTGGCCTCCCACCAGCCTCCCTCCATGGTGTCTGGGGGCCCTTCTCCTGACACCTCCCTGCATGACAAGGAGGGGTTCTKGGGCTTTCAGGTGCGGGGGCCTGGGGCCTGGAGAAGGAGCCCACAAAGGGCTTCGTGTGCAGGGGTCACAATGGCCGCATTATGGAGAGCCTGGGGATCAAAGGCCTCGGAGCCAGTCCCCAGCCAGGGCCCCAGCCAGCCCAGTCCAGGCTTTGCTTCTCTGTGGGGATTTGAAAGGAGCTGCCATTGTTGGCTCCCTGGGGATGAATGCCAGAGCTCAGCGGGGAGCCAGGAGGGAGGCAGGAACAGATGCCACGCCGCCCCACCCCGTGCCAAAGGCCAGGAGGAGGAAGCAGAGGGGGCCCGGAGGGCCTGGAGGTGGGCAAGGCTGGGGTGGGAACCCAGCCCTCTCCCAGCCTGACCTGCAGTCTAACTGACCTCTAGCGTGAGCTGCCCCTCCTTGGGTGACTGAACCTGCCTTTTCAGCCTTGCTTTCAGAGAGCAAGAAGCAAGTGTGGGTAGCTGTCCATCAGCCAGGCCTAGCAATTGGTTTGAAGGCTCCTATGGCACCCAGCAGGGGTTGGCCCTACCTGCCGCTGCTGACTCATTTGCCAGAGGGTTGACTCTGGGTCTGGCAGGAGCTTAGCAGGGAAGCACTGTCTTCCCCCCGGGGTTTGACCTAGCCATGCGTCCCCTGTGGTCTCAGCTCTGCCCACACCCAATCTTGGGAACCAAAACATCCCTCCAGAAGGCAGAAAGAAGAGTTGTAGGCCTCTCCCATGAGTCACTGCAGGGCGAGAGGGGTGGAGGCATCGTGGAAGGAGTSGGGCCTTGGAAACCACAAGGGCCAGGCTCAGCCATGTGGCTGGAGTACGTTACTTTACTTCTCTGAGCTGCAGAGGCCTGTCCTGGTGGGGCAGCCAGAGGAAGAAACTGCCCTGTCTCAGGAAGGCCAGCAAGTGCTGCTACCTGCTGCGTCACGGACCCCTGCAGATCA